CCTGCCTGCTTTGCCCACTTTTGGGTAAAAGTTGCTCCTTTTTAATAAAAAAATTCAATATTGACACCCGTGGTGCGTTGTGAGATAATTTTGTGAGTTTGCTTGCAAGCAAATTTTATGTGACAGACTCGGGTAGCCGATGGCAGATAGATAGATCACTGAATGATTCTGTGAGCAACTCAATCTGCCTGCCTGCTTTTGGGGAAAAGTTACTCTTTTTTTAATTTAAAAAAAAATCATTATTTACACCCATTGTGTGTTGTGAGATAATTTTGTGAGTTGGCTTGCGAGCACATTTTATGTGACAGACTCGGCTAGCCGATGGCAGATAGATAAAATCTCTGAATGATACTGTGAGCAACTCAATCTGCCTGCCTACTTTTGGGGAAAAATTACTCTTTTTTTAATAAAAAAAAATCATTATTTACACCCATGGTGTGTTGTGAGATAATTTTGTGAGTTTGCAAGCATATTTTACGTGACCGACTCGGCTAGCCGATGGCAGATAGATAAATCTCTGAATGATTCTGTGAGGAACTCCATCTGACTGACTGCCTGGCGTGATTTGGGGTACAAGTTGCTCTTTTTCTTTTTTAAATAAAAAAATAATAATCAACGTTTCCGTCAATATTGACATACAAGCCACGCCCAGCCAGTCACGTGACACCCCGCCCAAGCGCCACGCCCACCGATTAGGCCACGCCCATCCAGTTGCGAAGGGAATTTGAATCCCTCCCGTCTCTGCAGCTGCCGAAACGCCCGGGGCCGTCGGCAGCGCCTCACCACCCCGCTTCCCTGGCGGGGTGAGGGACGGGTGAGGAGAGCACAGGACCGGGAGGGGAACGGGACCTACTTCCACCCCTTTGACCTTCAATTTCATGTGGTCCTCCCGGGTGGTCTTGCCGTCCTTCCGTTTCTTCCAGCAGTAGCCATCTTTGCGGTATTTCACCTTCTTGCGGTTGTACAGGATGAGGGAGCCATTCTGGGGTCTGCCGGGAGAGGGACGGCCCGGGTGAGCGGGCGGGGGAGACCCCGGGGCCGTGGAGGAATACCCCCTCCCCCTTGCAGTGTTCCCCAGCAAAGGGGCTTCGTCCGCCTCGGCCCGGCTAGCCGGCGCGTCTCCGCTGGGCCGAGGCCGGACGAGGCAGGCCAGGTGGGGCGGATACCTGTTTGGGACAGCTTCCTTTCAACACACCTGTGCGGGGCCGGCCTTACAGGTGGGGGGGGGCACTTTTGATTTACGCCCCGCTCCGCGTTCGTTAGATGGGGCCGCCGCGATGGAACCGAAACAGCGGCGGGAGGATGGCTTGGGTCGCCCCAGAGCCGTCACCGCCACCCAGAAGACCCCACGCCCCCACATACACACACCCCACCCCGCCGTGCCCTGTCCTTGAGGTAGGCAGGTAGGCCCCTTACCTGGTCTTGGGGGAGCCGGAGAGCCATTCTTCATGCTTCTCAAAGGTGATCAGGTAAGAAGCGATTTCCTGCAAGGAAGACCCCCTCCTCAGCGACTCCTGGGCCAGGCTGGCCAGCCGGCAGAGGCTCGTGGGGGGTTGAGGGGTGGGGCAGATCACCTCAAAGGGCCCCCCCAAAACAGCCACACTGGGGAATCGGAAGGCCGGAAGGGGTCGGAGCCTCGGGAAGGCCTCCCCGGCCTCGGGAAACCCAACCACCCAGCCACCCGTCTCCATTTGGCACGGCGGTCGATTCCTCCCTTTCGCCCCAAAAAACCACGGCGGGGGGACGGGACCAAAGGTCGAAGGGCAGCCCTCAAAGGAGCCTCCCCCCCCCCCCCGCCGGCCCCCACCTGGTCGGCCCGGAAGGGAGCCCTGCCTAAGGACAGAGACCCTATGGGTGTCCTCAGGGTACCTCCAGCCCTCCTCTCCCCCACAGCCCCCTTCCCACCATCCAGTCTCCAGCAGCCTCCAGTCTCTGGTCTCCGGACCCACACAGGTCTCTCTCACTCACTCTCTCTAATCTATCCACCTCTATCTACCTACTATCTATCTATCTCTCTATCTATCTCTCTATCTATCTATCGATCTATCTATGCATCTATCTATCTATCTCTATATCTATCTATCTATCTCTATCTCTATATCTATCTATCTATCTCTATCTTTATCTATCTATATCTATCTATCTATCAATCTCTAAATCTATCTATCTATATCTATCTATCTGTCTGTCTATCTCTATATCTATCTATCTGTCTGTCTGTCTATCTATCTATCTATCTATCTCTATATCTATCTGTCTATCTATCTATCTGTCTCTATATCTATCTATCTATCTATGCATCCATCCATCTATCTATCTGTCTGTCTATCTATCTCTATATATCTATCTATCTGTCTATCTATCTCTATCTCTATTTATCTTTATATCTATCTATCTATCATCTATCTATCTCTCTCTCTCTCTCTATATATATATATATATATATGCATCCATCCATCTATCTATCTGTCTGTCTGTCTATCTCTAAATCTATCTATCTATCTATCTATCTATCTATCTATCTATCTATCTATCTATATCTCTATTTATCTTTATATCTATCTATCTATCTATCTATCTATCTATCTATCTATCTATCTATCTATCTATCTAT